AACACGAGTGAACACGAGTGAACACGAGACAACACGAGTCAGAACACGAGACAACACGAGTGAACACGAGTCAAAAATTTGTGAACACGAGTGAACACGAGTCAAAAACTGACGAACACGAGTGAACACGAGTCAAAAATGACGAACACGAGTCAAAAATGACGAACACGAGTGAACACGAGTCAAAAATGACGAACACGAGTCAAAAACGCATTCTTAAAGAGGCTCCCTGCAGTTTTAAGCCCGTGATGAAGATCTGTACTGTGTAATTGCACGCAGGTTTCTTGGCGGCCCACAGGATGTTGGATTAATAATTATTAATAACAATTATTCGCCGAAGGCGAGGTGATTATCGGTGAATAAAAACCGAGACGAAGTCGAGGTTTTTATTCACGATAATCACCGAGCCTGAGGTGAATAATTGTTTTAGTATAATTTCATAGGTGAATATTTAGAAAAAAATTTAAAACGCACATTTCTTCGTCATTTAATTGACAAAATTAACGGCTTCGGCCGCCATTTTGAGAATCGCTTAGGTGATTATCGCGTAACTGATCACGTACCTCAACAGCAGCCAATCAGCGTGGAGAATTTTGAATAATCACCTATGTAATTATACTAATAATAATTAAAATCATAACGAAAACTTTATTCAATTTTAATAATAATAATAATACTTATAATTATTATAATTATTATAATTATATTAGAATTAATTATAATTATATAATATATTAATTATTACAACAATTAATATTTAGTAATAATTATTAGTAATTAATTATAATAATAATTTTAATTAATTATTAATAATTATTATTAATTTTTATTAATTAATAATAATAATATGTAAGTATATAATAAGATGAAGATGATGGTCCATAAGATGAAGTTTTGGTTTTGTTTGTTGTTGCTGACCAAAGTAATGCGGAGTCTTTGACGGTTCACCGTTCACATGATCACATCTTGCCACATGGAAAGTTGATGTATATATATATATGTATATATATATGTATATATATATATATATATATATATATATATATGTGTGTGAATAGGTTTTTGGAATCATGCCTGGTATATATATGAATATAATTTTTTTATTTAAAAAATTAAAAAAGACTTCTACAGGCACTAAAAAATTTAAAAATTTTTTGTCCCAACGTTTCGCCGGTTAAGGCTTCTTCAGGGGAATCATTCCTGACTGTAGAAGTCTTTTTTAATTTTTTAAATAAAAAAATTATATTCATATATATATATATATATATATATATATATATATATATATATATATATATATATATATATATATATATATATATTTCGGAATGTGAAATTCAACTAATTTAAAAACATTAAAAAATTAAAAACTAAGTTCATTTACTCGAGTTTCACGCCTATATTGGCGATCATCAGACTACCTGTCCGTATTAAGACGTTCTTATTTATACCTATTTTAAACTATTTAAAATTAGCATATATCTTTACATAATTACAATCAAAACCTATTATTTACGTTACATTACTAGCATAAAATTTGTTTTCGTGCCTGCATTTTGATACTAATTCTGATCGTTTGTTTAGAAGAGTTCCCTTGTGAGCGTTTAGAATTGCCATTTTTTCTGCCAGGCACAGTTTACAAACTCTTGTTCCACTTGCGTACGGTTTAGCCTGCTTCAAAATTGACCATTTAATTTCATAATCCCTTCTCGTTTTCTTCAGGTCGCATATGAATTTCGATAG